AGATTATATCCTGATTTGGTATTTGGAAAATAAAATAATTTATTCAGTCTTAAAATATTTGCTGACTATCTTGTGCCAAGTACAGGACTGAACATTTATGTGGTAGTTCAACAATTACTTATTAGGGGCACTCGGGGTACAACATAGAACAAAAAGAAAAATCTCTGTCCTCATGTCCTCATGGAGCTTGGATTCTAGCGGTGTATTAGTTTGCTGAGTCTGCCACAACCTGTCTTAAATAACAGAAGTTTATTTTCTCACAGATATGGAGACTAGATATCTGAGGTCACAGAGTCAGCCAAACCGGTTCCTTGTTAGGACCGTGAGGGAAGGACCTGTGCTAGGCCCTCTCCTTGGCTTGTGGATGGCCAACTCTCCTTGTGTCTTCACGTTGTCTTCTCTCTATACTTGCCTGTATCCAAATTTCCTCTTCTTATAATGACACCAGTCACACTGGATTAGGGCCCACCCTCATTTTAACCTACTTACTTTGTAAAGACCCTATCAGCAAATATGGTCACCTTCTGCGGTACCAGGGATTAGGACTTGAACATATGCATTTTGGGAAGGACACAGTTCAGCCCATAACAAGTGGGCAGTGATGACAGAGCAGCGAATAAATTCTAGAACGTGGGTGGTCCTGGTCGCTGTGTGCCAGGCACTGTACCGGGCATGCTCATGTGCATCATTGCATTTAATGCTGTAACCAGCCCTGGAGGTAAGTATTGTTACCCAAACTTTACACTGAGGAAACTGAGGGCGGACCACCCTCATAGGTCATAGGGGTGTTTGCTTTAGAGGCCCTGTGCTTAATGTTTTCAGTGGTCAAAGCTTTGGAAATGAAAATTGAGCCGTGGCTGAATGTGTAGGGTATATATTCGTGGCTGATTCCGATTCAGAAGCAATTTCTAATGTTAATGTAGAGAGGGAAGTCTTTTTTTTTTTACATTAGGTTCTAAGAAAAAAAAAGATAAAAGTAATATTTGATAAGTATATTTTTTCCTCTATAAATAATCCAATATATTATTTAATGAGTGAACACTATTATATATAATAACACATTATTACAAATAACCATAGTTATTTATAGTATATATACAACTATCTATTAAATAAATCCTACATTTTTTTATAGCAATAATCACTTCCTTTGGATTAGCTAGATTTAAATAAAGTTCCAGGTCACTTCTGACCTGTACCTCTTGATTCATCTCCAGACTAGGAAGCTTGCCACGGCACTACTCCTATGGAAGGAATCCTCATAGTACCTGTTCTGCCTGTTTTAATTATGATGCTCCTCTGGTGGACAGATTCAGATTCAGCAAACATTTATGGAGGACATACTGTCACATGGCAGGCAATTTCACAGAAATCCATGTGTTTCATAAATATGGAAAACCAAAGGATAATATGCGTTTTTTATGAACATCAATTTTACTCAATTATTTTACGGGGAAAAAAAGTACTTAACTTTTTTTTTTTTTTACTTAAGGTAACCAGTGGATAATTTAAAATGTAATTTAAATATTGAAACCATATTAGGTATATATTATAGTGTGAGATGCAACATTTTCATGAACTTTCAAGATGAAACTCATTTCAAAGGAGTTGCTTTTGTTTTGAGTTGTGCCTTTAGTTCTATAGAGATGGGAACCTGCCCTTCTCCTTCCGAGGTCTGGGGTTGGGCTGGGGGGCATCTCGGAAGACAGCCTTTGAAAAGTTTTGAAATTTTCTTCGTCTTCATAACAACCATGTGCGGTATATTATCCTCATTTAAGAGATCAGAAAACACAAGTTTGGGTAAATTATCTAGCCCTAGTTAACACAGTGAGTAAATAGCAGAGGCAGAGGTTAAAATTCAGACTTTCTGACTCCCATTCCAGGGCATTTTATATTGCACTACGTTCACTCCTTGGATGAACGAGGCTTCAGCCCTCCCAAGGCTGTATAGACCTCACAGTTCTGCATGTCCACATGGTTGAACCTCATTGACTCTTGGATTCATGCACTTATTTGTGCATTTAATCAATAAATAAATCAATAAATATTGAGAGCTTACTATGTGCCAGGTTTCATGCTGGGTCTGGAGGACACAGTGGTTCGCAACAAAAGCAGAACATGGTTCTCTCCCTTATGGAGCCTGCAGTCTAGTGGAAGAACAGATGTTAAACAAATACCACAAAACACTTGTTTATAAACGATCGGTATTATGAAGCGAAAGCATAGGGTGCCATGAGAGGAAACAACAGGTGAGTTAATTTAGATTAGTGATCAGAGAAGACCTCGTTAAGGAAGTGACTTTGATCTGAGGTTTTGAGCATCAGTTAGCTAGAAGAAAACTCATTTGCCCTTGAAGTAGTTACAAATTGCCATCCTACAAAACCCATCACTACAATTCCCTCTATCTTCATTAGATTCCTTCTTTCTCCACGGCGAGATCAAATTCCTACCCTCAGCCATCACATTTATTCTTTTCTATTATATCTATCCATCCATTGGTTCATTTACCTATCCATTTTTTCATCAAGCATCAGCTACGAGCCTGGCACTATTGTGTCCTGAATCCTTTTCTTTTTCATCTTCACTCCCTTGACTGCTTTAACCTTCTGATTCTTTTTTTTAAAGCTTTATTTATTTATTTGAGTGGGGGAGGGGTGGAGAGAGGGAGACAGAATCTCAAGCAGACTCCCTGCTGAGTGCCAGCCCAACTAGGGGCTTGATCTCATAACCCTGAGATCATGACCTGAGCCTAAATCAAGAGTCCGATGCTTAGCTGACTGAACCACCCAGGTGCCCCTAACCTTCTGATTCTTGAATTTATTTTTGACTCACATATTCAGTCTTATGCCTTTCCGAGACCAGTCACTTCCCTCTCCTTGGGCTAAACTATCATTTCTCATCCTGTTTTCAACAAATGCATTCTTTCCTCACATTTTTCTGAAATTTTTATAATCAGGTGCAAGAAAATTAATGAAGTTTTGTTTGTTTGTTTTGTCAACTACTTGGTATTTCCATCCCTTAACACAGAAATACCACTAATATAAAAAACATTTTTGGAATCTCTTTCTTTCTCACTCTACCTACTTATATCTATCACCTGTTTATATTTGGGATCATTTCTTTCTTTTAACTATAAACTCCTGGAGATGGACAGATCTATCTGTGTAAGTTAATATAGCATCTGGTGCTAATAGTAATCACTTCTTAAACTTTTCATATGCTTTTAAAAGAGGCAAGGCACATCCTTTATAGGCCTGCTAATATGTTTGATGCACCTCTGATATAAAAGCACAAATGAATTCAGAAATGCCCAGGCCAAGATTAGCCTGCTTTCACTTTCTCCTATAAAGTCATTTCTGTCCTTTCTGTCATAACCTGGACATAAAAAAACCCAAGTCAGCAATAATATAGTGTATCATCAACTATTTAGGCAAACATACACTTACTTACTTCTCTATCTCCACACAAGCCAGTCAAATCCAACAAACGTCCTCTGGAAAGTCTGAAGACTCAGAGTGCACTATCTAGAAAGTTCCACCTATCAAAAAGTAAGTCGAGGGGATTTCTCTTTGTAGGCATGATGGAGTAACAAGGACCAGACTTAAATGCCCACCATAAATAATTAAAAAGCCGGATAAAATATGAAACGATGGCTTTCAGACATTGGACAATAGTCTGCATAGGATTATGATTACTGAAAGAAGAGAAACAAACAAGTGAACTCAGTAACTCCGTGGCTTTCTGCCTGGAAGCAATTTCTAGACTGTTGACTCGGGAACGGGGACCCAAACAGATTCTGATAGCTTTGCTGAGTTGATAAGATGGAGGCCAGAGTTTGAGGAGGCTGAGATGGCTAGAGGTAGTGGGGCAGAATTCTGGGAAGGAGGGGGCTATGCAGAAAAATTGCTCCAGAAATATGTATAGGAATCTTTTGAGTCTTTGCTGAGTACCAGGACACAAGTGTATAGAATGACACTCCACAAGATTGGACAAAAAAGACTGGTGAGTTGTAAGCTGAATAAATCTCAGGGCACACATCAACTGGGAGAAAGTTTGGTTAGCCAAAGTGGAGAGTCCTTGTTCATCCTTGGAACATTCAGTGGATACCCTCAAGTAATCATATGTTAGTAATAGGCTGAACTATCCTTCGAATGAAATATTCTAGACCAGGGATTGGAAACTTTTCTTAAATTTACAGATCACAATCATTTTTGGGTTGTGGGTCATATGGTCTTCATCACAACTACTCAGATCTGCCATTGTAGTGTGAAAGCAGCCATAGAAAATACATAAGTGAATGGGTGTGGCTGTGTTAACAAACTTCATTAACATTATTAACAAAAAACAAGTGGCCAACCTGTGAGCTGTAGTTTGCTGACCTCTGCTCTAGAACAGCACTGTCCAACAGAAATATAATGCAAGCCACATATGTAATTTTAAATGTCTGGTAACCACTGTACAAAGGAAAAAAAAGTAGATAAAATTAATAATATATTTTACTTAACCCTATACATCCAAACTATTATCAATTTGACATGTAATCAATATAAAAATTATTAATGAGGAAGTTTGTGTTCTTTTTATCATACTAAGTCTTCAAAATCTGCAGTCTAGTTTATACCTATAGCACATCTTAATTCAGATTGGTCACATTTTAATAGCCACATACAGCTAGTGACTACCATAATGGATAGCACAGCTCTCATCTCTCTCCAGTAAAGCTTAAAGACAGGTGTCAAAGGAATCAAACTGATGGAACAATTAACGTCACTGCCTGCCAAAACAAAGCCCAATGCTCTTTAAAGGAAGACAACACAATACAGACACTTAATAATGTAACAATAACAATGTCAGCATCAAATAAAAAATCACTGGACATGCTTAAAAGCAAGAAAAAAATACAACAAGAAGAAGAATCAGTTAAGAGAAACAGACCTAGAGGCCATTTTGACTTCCCGACCTTGGGCAGTAGCTGGCAACTGTCGTCATTCCGTGCGGTCATGTCTTTGTCGATGGCGCAGCTGCTGAGGGGCCTGACAGGTCTCACCCGGAGGCTCCCAGTGCAGTGTGCCCAGATCCATTCCAAGCCTCCGCGGGAGGAACTCGGGACCATGGATGTTGCCATTGGGCTCACCTCCTGCTTCCTGTGTTTCCTTCTGCCATCGGGCTGGGTCCTGTCGCATCTGGAGAGCTGCAAGAAGCGGGAGTGAAGGGGGCTGTCCTGTCCCTCACCCTGTGACCTGACCACCCCTGGCCTCTCCTGATCATGTCTGCTGCATCCCTGGCCGGTCTTCCCGGGATCATGTCCTTCAATTACAATGACCTCTTCTGCAGTCATGACCTCTCCATTTCTCCATGGTGACATCCTGGGACCACATATATTGGTTTATAAGGCCCTACTCGGTAAGGCCCTCCTTGTAAAAATAAAGTCTATTTAAACCTTGAAAAAAAAAAAAGAGAAACAGACCTAGAAATGATAAAATAATGGAATTAGCACACATGATGTTAAGACAGATTTTATTATTATGTATAAGTATTTAAAGGAAAACAAAAAAAAATCAGAGGAAAAATGAAGAATATAAAAAACCAACTGTGACTTCTAGAGATTAAAAAAATGCAATTATCTGGACTGAAGATTTTAGTGGATAAGATTAACATCAGATTAGGCACTGCAGAAGAAAAGATTAGTCAATGTATAAACATAGCAATTAAATTGATCCAAGATGAACCACAGAGAGAAAAAAGACTGAAAAAAAAAAATAGATGAGGGCACTTGGGTGGCTCAGTTGGTTAAGTCACTGCCTTCGGCTCAGGTCATGATCCTGGAGTCCCAGGATCGAGTCCCACATCGGGCTCCCTGCTCAGCAGGGAGTCTGCTTCTCCCTCTGACCCTCCCCCTTCTCATGCTCTCTCTCTCTATCTCATTCTCTCTCTCAGATAAATAAATAAAATCTTTAAAAAAAAATAGATGAAAGGAGGCTTAGTGATTGGTGAGATAATATCAAATGATCTACCATAATTGGGAAAGGAAGAAAGAGAGGACAGAAAAATATTTGAAGAAATAATGGCCAAAACACTTCAAAATTCACTGAAAACTATACTTCATAAATCCGAGAAACTTAAAAACTCATGAAAAAAACCAAGCTACATAATAATCAAATATCTGAAAACGAATGTTGAAGAGAAAAATCTTAAAGGCAGTCAGAGAAAAACACATATTAAGTACAGAGAAATAGACATAAAAATGATTACAAACTTCACCTCAGAAATTTAGCAAGCCAGAAGACAATTAAATAACACCTTTAGAGTGCTGAAAGAGAAAAGTCAACTTGGAATCCAATATCTGAAGGAAATAGCCTTCAAAAACAAAAGTGAAATAAGGGTGCCTGTGTGGCTCATCGGTTGAGTGTCTGAAGCTTGGTTTCAGCTCAGGTCATGACCTCAGGGTCATGAGATCAAGTCTCACGTCCAGCTCTGCACTCAGCAGGGAGTCTGCTTGAGATTCTCTCTCTCTCTCTCCCTCGGCCCTTCCCCCTGTTCATACACACACATACACGCTCTCTCTCAAATAAATAAATAAATCTTAAAAACAAAAAAGCAAAAAAACAAAAACCAAAGGTGAAATAAAAACATTATCAGACAAACAAAACTTGAGGAACTTTGTTGCCAGCATATATATACTAAAAGACATGTTAAACAAAATTATTCAGGCAAAAGCAAAATGTCCACAGATGGAAACTTGGAATACCAGAAATGGTAAATATGTGGACAAATAGAAAAGATTTGTTTCCTCATTTTTAAATTTCTTTAAAAGTTAATCAACTATATAAAGCAAAAATAACAATGTATTTTTGAGATTTATCAAATGCGTAAAAGCAATATGTATGACAATAGCTTGAAGGATAGAACGAGAGCAGAGGAAGTCTAGAGTGCTAAAGATTTTATGTTATACATGAAGTGGCATAATACTATTTGAAAGTAAATTATGAGTTAAGATGCATATTGTAAAGTGTAGAGCAATCACTAAAATAAAATAATAAAATATATCTCACAAACAGTGGAGATAAAATGGAACATTAAGCAGTACCAATTAACTTAAAAGAAGCAGGAAAAGAAGATAAAAGTAACAAGAAAAGATGAGACAAAATGAAAACTAATAGTAAATGGTAGACTCAACCATATTGATAATTATATTACATGTAAATGGTCTAAAGACTCCAATTAAAAGTCAGAGATTGCCAGACTAGATAAAAAATTAAGATTCTATTATATGCTGTGTAGGAACAAACCACTTCAAATATATAGACAGGATAGGTTAAAACTAAAAGGAGGGAAAAAGATATACTATGCAAATATAAATTATAAGAAAGCTGGAGTGGCTATATTAGTATCAGATAAAGCATGCAATATAAAAAGGAATATACTAGGAATAATGATAAAATATTCAATTTATTGGGGAGATATGACAATCCTAAATGTAATAGAGCTTCAAAATACATGAAGCAAAACCTGACGAAATGAGTCAGGGTTCTGGGAATCACTTAAATTCTCTGAAGTGAATCAGTTGTGTGGCATTGGGAAAATCATTTAATCTGTGAGTGAAAGTTTACTCCCTCGTACAATAAAAATAATCACACATATTTCATGGGTACTTTGTGAGGATTAGATAAAAGTATATGTGAAATTAAAAAAAAACCAAAACAACAAAAACCCAACCTGAATTGAAAGGAAATTTAAAAATCCACAGTGACAGCTGGAGTATTCAACACTTTTCACTTATAATCAATAAAGAAAGAAGGGAAAACCAGCAAGAATATTGAAGACTTGAATGATACCATGAATCAACTGTACCTAATTGGTATTCATAGAATACTCTACCCAACAACAGCAAAATTACACATTTTTTAAAAGTTCACCTGAAACATTAATCAAGAGAGACCATATGTTAGTCATAAAACAAGTTCTAACAAATTTAAAAGTATTGAAATCATAAGGTTTGTCCTCTGACCATAGTGAAATTAAATTAGAAATCAGTAACAGCTATTTGGGAAAACTCCAAGTATTTAGGAATCAATAGCACACTTCTAAACAACACATGGGCCAGAGAAAAAATCATAAGGGAACTTAAAAAATATTTTGAACTGAATGAAAATGAAAACATATCAAAATTTATGAGGTGCAGTTAAAACAGTGTCTCAAAGGAAATGTTTAGCATTAAATGTTAATATTCGAAAATAAGAAAGGTCTAAAATCAGTAATTTAAGATTCTATCCTAAAAAGCAAGAAAAGAATATATGTTGGCTAATTGAATTTAAATTTAAAAAATTTTTTTTAAAAAAGGCAAGAAAAGAAGAACAAATTAAACCTAAAAAAATAGAAGGGAGAAAATAACAAAGATAAAAGCAGAAATCAATGACCTATAAAACAAAAATAATGGAGAAAATCATTGAAACCAAAAGCTGGTTGGAGAATTTCAACAAAATGTATAAACCCCTAGCTAGATGCATTAAGGAAAAAAGGGAGAAGACACAAATGATCAATATCAGTTACACACCACTGATGCTACCAACATTACAAGGATAATAAATGAATATTATGAGTATTTTGTTGTCAATAAATGCAACAACTTAGATGAATGGGCAAATTCCTTAGAAGATACAATTTGCCAAGTATGACTGAAGAAGTAGAAAATCTCAATAAGCCCTGTATCCTGTAAAGAAATTAAATATGTAAATTTAAAAATTTCCCACAAAGAAAACTTTAGGCCCAGAAGGTTTCACTTTGAATTCTATCAAATGTTTAAGAAACATACCAACATTTCACAAACTCTTTCAGAAAATGGGAGGATGGAATACTTTCCAACTCATTTCATGAGGCCAGCATCACCTTAATACGAAAATCTGAGAGTGAGCTACAAGAGAGAAAAAAAGAAACAACATGAGACCAATATGACCCATGAACATAGACATAGAAATCCTTAGCAAAATACTAGCAAATCGAGTCCAGCAATCTCTAAAAGAAACAATACATCATGGTGGGAGATTATTTCAGAAATGTCAGAAAATCTAGAGGAAGACCTTTGAAGGTGGGGGTGTATGCCAATGGAAAGTAAAAAGTAAAAAGCGAGTATCATTAGCTTCAATAGTCTTGATTTTCATCCTTTTAACAGCTGACATTTCTGAACATTTACCACAACCCAGGAAGCAAGTTCAGAGCTATATGTGATTTCTCTTGCTAATCCTTACAAGAACCCTATGAGGTAGGTACTATTGTTGTAGGCATTTTATAAATAAGTAAACTAAAGCAGAGAGAAACTTAAAAACCTGTCCACAGTCCCATAGCTATTAGGATTTAGACCTATATTGTGTGTCTCTAGATCCTGCACTCTTGCTAATAATGCACCACTCTACAAAGAACTGCTCATTTTCTGTGCTTTTACCTATTAAGGCTTATTTCGTTATTCCTGAACATTTATCCACTTTTTCAGTCCATAATTAAGAACTTCCATCTGAGTAAAAATATTAAGTAGTTCCAAATGCAAAATACTTCTAAAATAAAAGTATGTGTATTAAATTATAAAACTTATAATACTAGCATGGAAGATGTACTCCATTATCACCTCCTAAATTTTTATGTGGCTACAACTTTCAAAATTTTAAATGCCTAGATCCTTCAACCTAGTAATTCCATCCTAAGAAATTATCCTTTAGGAAAACACACATACATATGCACATAGTCAAGGATGTTCACTGCAGCAATGACTAGAAAATTGGGAACTACCTAAAAGATCACCAGCAGGGAAATGGTTAAATACCTTTGGGACATAACCAGGCTATACAGTGGGATACTATACAGTCCAAAAGAATGCCCTTGATCTGTACTGACAATATATTAAGCGAGAAAGGCATATCGCAGACCAATATATGTAGCCCAATGCATTCTCTATTAGAGAGCTCACAAAAATATCTGTTACATATAAATGCTTTTGTATATATTTAGAAAATAAATACATGGATGCACATGAAACTCAAAATAGTGATTAACCCTAGGGAGTAGGATTTGGTTGAAAGGATGAGGGAGGGAAATCTTGAAATTTTCCTCTTTTGTTTTGTGCACTTCTATACTGTTTGAATTTGTTTTAACAAGCCTATACTACCTGATCTTCATTCTTAAAAAAAATAAAGGTAGCATGAGAATTCTTCCCCTTGAGGTTCTTTTCAACTGTACAGCTCTAACTTCAAAATTTGAGATGGGAGAAGAAGCAGTTAAGACGTTCCCTAGTGTCCTCCTTCGATTAAAATATTTTAGTGATGTCCCATGTGTTGGGGATCAAGTCTAAACTCCTTAGGGTGCCTGGGTGGCTCAGTCAGTTAAGCGTCTGCCTTCAGCTCAGGT